CCCTACATTGAATATCTGCTTAAAATTTGCTTTTAAACACTAATCTTTAGAACAAAGACATGATACAGAGATTACTGTTTAAAGCAAATTAAAATGTTGTGCTCCTAACCTTGTCTTTATTTAGTTATATTTTTGATAACTTTGCAAATCAGGCACTAAGATTAAGAAGATATTCATTTTCAATGGAAATAAATCTGAAGGTGAAAAATGCCCACAATAACTTTTAAAATTTCTTACAACCTGCTGGTGATTATAACTGGTCATTAATTTTTCTCTAAGAACATTTAAAAGTTATAACTTCAATTTCATTTTGTTCTGCAACTGTGGGTTCTACCAACCGTTGGTGGAAAACACAGTATTCACTGATGCAGACATAAGAAAATTGCATTCTTAAACATGTTTTTATTATTTAAGAAAAAAAAAATCAGCCACATTAGTTCAATGCCTTTCTCCTATCCCTGCCAATAAAACTTGGATCCCATGGAGAATCATTTAAAAAATATCAATTTAGATATTCCTGTTATGCTTTTGAAGATTCAACACAGGTATGTGTTCTTCCTTGAAGCCCTCTTCACTGCCTTGTAGTTATGCACGCACATTTCCCTATGTTCGGAATTGGTTGGCACCATTGTACCCAATGCAGTTAAACACTTCCATAAGTACTATTTTGACTTGGATCTTCATATTTATGTTTTTTCTCTTCTATGAGTTATTTCTCACATAAAGTAGAGACATCTTGGATCAACTCAGAGTTATCTTTGGACATGAGTATTGGTCGGTTAAGAATATATTTATCACTTCAGGACTTAGTGACATTCAAGGATGTGGCAATAGATTTTTCCCAGGAAGAATGGCAATGGATGAACCCTGCTCAGAAGCATTTATACAGGAGTATGATGTTGGAGAACTATCAGAGCCTGGTATCACTTGGTGAGGATCTTTTCCCTCCTGCATAATCTACCTTTAAGGAACTTTTATGTTTTTATATATTATGAAATTTGTTTTTGTTATATGTAGGTCAGAATGGAATCTGGGAATGGATCTGAGAAACAGAGGATATTGAGGGACTGAAGAAAACTTGAGATTTAGAGTTAGTGAATTTGGTGAATATCAGATATTCCATGCGTACACCCTTAAGGCAATTGGGAACACAGGACACAATGTGAATCTCACCAGTCTCCTGGGTTTCCTTGTTCTCTCTCTCCTACAGAATTATTATCACCACTAGACAACAACAAGGTTCACAAAGAATATATAGCTAGATTACTATAAATTCAGAATATCACTTTTAAAATCTGTATCTTTATATTAACTTGTGATAAGTAACAAACTGAAGACACAAACTGAAAATGGCTTCAGATTGCTTACAGTTAGGGAAATTCATATGGCCTTTTCTTCTAAGCACTGGGGCCACCTCATTGGCTAAATTAGCTTTCTGTTCTCTAGAAGCCCTTTTGATTATGCTTGTGGTTCATTGAGCTTCTTGAAACTAAATTT